ATGGATTCAGGTAGCTACTGATGGTGTTTTATGTGCCCCTAGGTTTTAACTTTTGAAAAGTTGTTTTTCTTTCTAAGCATCTGATTCTTTGTCTCTCCAGGACTGCCAGTTTGTGGTTTAGTTGATGATGAGGATTCTAACATAATCCACAACCATTTTTAATCTCCCATCCCCTTCTTTAGCCCACAGCTGTGGTCCCTCCCTCTGTGAATTCTAGGGAAGGTAATGCACCTCCATCACCTTGACCTAGGGCAACCTTTCTATAGACTCAGAAGATTAGGAGAAGCAAATAGAAACATAGAAGGCAAGGTTTCTGACCTTGAGATGACAAAATTATGAGGGTCAGTTGTTCGATGTCTCCCCCAAAACACATCTTTTTAAATTGAAGTATAATTGATATGTAATATTATAAATATATATATATATAAAGCATACGGTGTAGTGATTCACAGTTTTTAAAGGTTGTGCTCCATTTATAGCTATGATAAGATACTGACTGTATTTCCAGTATTGTACAATATATCCTTCCAGTATGTTTTAGACACAATAGTTTGTCCCTCTTAATCCCCTGTTCCTATGCTGCCCCTCCGCGTTCCCTCTCCCCACCTGAAACCACTGCTTTGTTCTCTATATCTGTGAGTCTGTTTCTTTTTTGTATTCTTCAGTTGTTTGTTGTATATTCTAGATTCCACATGTAAGAGATATCATACGGTATTTGTCTTACTCTGTCTGACTTGTTTCACTTAACAGAATACCCTCCATGTCCATCCATGTTGTTGCAAATGGCAAAATTTCATTCTGTTGTGACTGAGTAGTATAACATTGTCTGTATGGGTATTTTGTTGCTTAGTCGCTAAATCATGTCTGATTATTTTGGGACGCTGTGGACTGTAGCGCCTCTGTCTATGGATTTCCCAGGCAAGAATACTGGAGTGCGTTGCCATTTCCTTCTCCAATGTGTGTGTCTGTAGTGGTTCTTTACCACCAGTGCCATCTGGGAAGCCCACATGTACATACATAAACCCCACATGTTTCCCCAGGGGTTCAGGGGTAAGGAATCTGTCTGCAATGCAGGAAATTCGGGTTTGCTCCCTGGGTTGGGAAGATCCGCTGGAGGAGGGCATGGCAACCCACTCCAGTACTCTTGCCTGGAGAATTCCATGGACAGAGGAGCCTGGCAGGAGCCATTATATAAGATATCCACTCCTGAAGAATAGATGGCATATTATTTAGTGGGGTCAGGGAAAGAAACAGAGGTCCCAGGAGCTCCTTCTCAGCTATTTCCCCATCCTGTGAGGCCCAGAGCACACTCAGGCTGAGGTTGTGTTGCCTGCAGCCGATGTCCCCACTCTTGAGGACACCCCAGCCTTGAGGAGCTGGCTGCGGTGCTTTCACAGAGGAGCAGTAGGAGCAGACAGCAAGTCTGAGGCCCACCTCTTTTCACATGCCCAGCTTCATTCTACTCAACACACTTAGAGCAAGGGTCTGATCAGAGAGAAGAGATACTGCAGATTTTAGAAAACGGAATATAAAAAAAGCAATCCATGTGTGGCCTGACAAAGGGTCACACATGTCTTTTTTATGATGCTTCTTCCCTTCTATCATCTTTTTCCTAGAGGGGCTGGGGAAGGACTGGTCTGTCCATAACCAGGACCATGGATGTGTCCTTGGCTGGCTCTGTGGGGCCACAGGCAGAGCCTTGGAACTCGGTCTGGAGAGTCTTGCAGAAAGACAGCTGCTAGTGCTTCTACACCCTGGGGAGAGAAGGAATCAGGGAACAGCTTCATCTTCCCCTCTGAGCCAGCCTCTTGGATTCTCAGCAGGGCGGAGCCTAATCTAGCACACCTTGTTTAAAGGTACCCATCCATGTACAGGCAGGGACTCACACACAGGCCCTGGAAGAGTGTGGCCGGGTGGGCCTTCCTCCACCATCACTGACAGTACTTGGCTTCCAGCCTCTCCGGACACTTCCTGGGACCACCCACAATTCCCCTTCATCCTCACTCAAGTTTGTTTTTCTACTTGGATTAGTCTAAGAGTAAACGCCATAGGCCTTCTGGCCCTCCAAGGGGGGGAAAAAAAATTCTGTGTAAAGTGAAAATTAGACTCTTAAATCTGCAAAGAAAGCTGTTTATCTTACAAATTTATTCTTTTTATTGGGCCACACATATCCAAGATAGAAAGATAAAAGGAAAACAGATACAGGCCATCACTTAGAGTGACATATAGTGGGACGCAGCTCATCCTCACCTTCCGTAAAGCCTGTGGGAGCGCATGGTGGCAGCCTTATCTGTCTATTTATCTATAGCATGCGCTGGGCCAGGGCTCACCAAAAGCTGCAGTGGAAATGCATTCCCCCTACTCCCTATTCTCCTTTGTTGGACTGCTCCCCAGAGGCTCCAATGGAGGAGGGTCTAGGGGAGGTGCTCAACTGCTGATAGTGGGACACGGGGATGGGCAGGGATGCAGCATCAAAAGCCCATACCTGCCTCCTCAAAAAAAATTCTGTGTAAAGTGAAAATTAGACTCTTAAATCTGCAAAGAAAGCTGTTTATCTTACAAATTTATTCTTTTTATTGGGCCACACATATCCAAGATAGAAAGATAAAAGGAAAACAGATACAGGCCATCACTTAGAGTGACATATAGTGGGACGCAGCTCATCCTCACCTTCCGTAAAGCCTGTGGGAGCGCATGGTGGCAGCCTTATCTGTCTATTTATCTATAGCATGCACTGGGCCAGGGCTCACCAAAAGCTGCAGTGGAAATGCATTCCCCCTACTCCCTATTCTCCTTTGTTGGACTGCTCCCCAGAGGCTCCAATGGAGGAGGGTCTAGGGGAGGTGCTCAACTGCTGATAGTGGGACACGGGGATGGGCAGGGATGCAGCATCAAAAGCCCATACCTGCCTCCTCCGGTCCTGAAGTCAACACTTAGTTCTGGTCATCATTCAAGTGATGGCTCGTGACATCTTAACTTAAATAGGATATCTTAACCCCATTGCAGGGAGCACTTGGGCAGAATTTTAATTAGGCTCATTGTTATTTTAAGCTGACCTCATGATCACACGAAAGATAAGCTGAGTTACGCTGGGAGAGCAACTGTAACAGGTTTGGTATTGGGGTGGCTGTGTGGGTATGGCGAGATGAATGAGTTGGCCTCCCAGTTGTTTATAATACCTAGGATGTGGTTGACTTGAAATGGGCATCTGGTGTCTGGCCATTTTCCTCCTGGACTGTTGGCAAACTGGTTCTTTAACACAGAGGTGGCGGCAGTCCTCATGGATGTGACCTGTGGACGTGGGACTGGCTGCTATGACTGCATGTGGGGCATTTGTCTGCCATGATCTTGAGAGCCTCCTTTGTGCCTTTCTCTGGGAGTCTTATCAGTAGCTATCTCTGGAAGTCTTTCCACAGTCTTGTGGACAAACCACAAAGCTAGTGGTAGGTCAGGTGGGCCCTAGATGTGGATGAACCGAGTCCTCCTACCCATGTAAAATTTTGAAGAAAAAGCTGGGCAATTAGACCCTTTGAACAACTCTTTTCCAAGGGTGGTTAGAAGAGTTGGGGAGAATAGGAGTCAAAGTGAGCCTTCCAGGAAACTTTCCAGGGTGGCACACAGTTTGAATGCACAGAGGATGCTTGAAGCCAAAGCGTTCCACCGTTGTTCCGAGCAAACATCCAGACTAGAATTAAGTGCGATTGCCTTCACCTTGTTCGTGGCCTATAAGTCTGTCCCTTTTGGCTGCGAGCAGAGAACACCAGGAACGGATGTTGAAGAATAAAAGCAATTTGCATTTTCCATTGCTTGGAAGGTACAAATCTTGTTTATTTTGCTCTCTGCGGAACTCACAGGTCTGCTTATTATCCCAGAAAGTCCCCTTGTTCTCATAGTGAATCTACTGCGAGGCCTGGAGGGTGGGCCAGAAGCTGCGGCCAGGACCCTGCCAGCCTCGGGGGCTTGGGTTCTGTGCCAGGCAGCAGCCTCCAGTCCTGCAGGGAGGCCAGGGGAGAAGGCTTGCGTGCCTCCCCTTCTCGAGGCAAGATTCCCGGCTCCTGCCCCACCCCCTGATGTCGCCTCCTTGGCAGTGTGATGGCAGGCCTCGGGTGTTGCAGTAACATATCCTCCAACCACTAGATATTTTCACAGTTTTATTTACTATTATGTCCCATCATTTTTGTGCAGAAGGCAGTCGTATGTAAATTTTATTCCATTTTCTAATGGTTTGGGTTACATAACAAATAACAGCAGGAAGGAAAATTTGTATTGATACTTTACAGAGGAAGTTCTCAAGTCACTGCACAGAGATTTAACTGTGGTGCTCTAAGTTTATGGGAGTTTTGCAGCTGAGTTTCTGCACACGACTTTGAATATGTCACTATATGTTTATCATGGGCTAATTGTGGAACCACATTTCCATACTTTTTCTTCTCTCTTTCATGAGATTACACCAGCCAGTGATGGAGGCAAGACTCTACAAGGAAGAAATGATCAGTTTGGGATAATTTTCTTTCCTGTCCCAAAATAGCTGTATGTCTGCGTGTCTTAGGGATTCAGCCGAGACGCATTTTTTTCCATTTGTTGCTTGATATAATGCAAATGTGATTTCGATCCTATAGCAAACTCTCCAGCTAGTCCATATTACAAATTAATCAGATTCAACAAACACCAACATTTTTAAACTTTTGCAAAAAAATACTTAATAGGAGCTAAGCAAAAGAAGAAATCAAACCAGCTGCTGACACAGCTGTTTCTTTTCTTGTTTAATTCAGTTCAATATAAAGGTACCATATGCTGCTTAAAATGATGATAGGAAAGATGAAATAATTTAAGAGAATAACAAGAAAATACATGAATTGTCAGCATTCTGTCAGATTTAAAGAATGAAATAGACAGGTGTAGTATTGACATGTTTAACTTTGTGTGGTGTTAGCAGTTTTGGTGCGAACAACTTCTGACATGTGCTGAAGTGATGTGAGAACGTTTCTCCTCCGCTGCAGACATTGGCGAGGAGGCTGGGAGATCGGCCGGCGTCCAGCAGCCCGCACTGCTTCGTGACAGAAGCCTAGGATCGGCCATGAAGGACTGCCCGTACTGCGGGAAAACCTTCCGGACATCCCATCACCTAAAGGTCCACCTGAGGATACACACAGGTGAGAAATCTGGGTGCACAGCTCGGAGGAGGAGGCCCAGGCTGCCACGCTCCTGTCCCAGGTCTCGCCTCTGTGGGCCAGTCTGTGCACCACTGCCTGGGTCTGAACCGACCCTCCCGACCTAGTTCCCTGCCCCACACTCACCCTCATGAATGTTACACGGCGTGTGGACGTGAGTCTCCCATGGTCCAGGGTTGGGGTGATGGTGCTTTGTCCGAGGCCCCGAAACGTTTTGCTTGTGGTGTCCTTCTGCTGCACTGAAGTCGCACCTCCTACATCCTCATACGGACCAGGGGTCTTTCAGGTGCAGATGACGAGAACCCAGCTCAGACTGTAAATATACAGGTCGCGTGGGAGGTCTTTGAAGGCAGGCTGGCTTCCGGCCCCGTTGGGGTTACGTGCCCACACCTGGGACTTGGACAGATGGCGAGGGGAGTGGGTAGCTCCCCACTGCATCTCCTCGAAAGACAGACTGAGATGCTCTTAACCAAGCCTCTGGGCTGCTGTCATCTCCCGTGTGTTGGCAGTGCCTGAGCCCCTCACAGTGAGGGCTTCTCTTGGTCTTTCTGCCTCGAGCCTCAGTCATGGTTCTTGTTAGCTTTTCTGCTAGTTGTTTGCACATTGCCAATACAAAAAAAAAAAAAAAAAATCTATCTGAGATATGGACACCTCCATTTTCTTTGATTTTTCTCCCGACACATTATCTATTGGAGTATGAGCTGCTTCAGAGGATAGACAAATATGCCATCTATTTTCAAAAATAATTGTGGTCTGTTTCCCAAGGAATCAATAAAGCTCAGGGTTGTGCACGATATTTAGTGCATACAGGCCTCATGTTCAGCGTGCTGTGAAAGACAGGGAGCCCTCACCTGGACCCTCACCCATGTGCACAGGTCTCCCTGCCACCCAGCGTCCTGAGGACAGGTGGTCATGGGCAGTGGGTACGGGCTGCCATCTTTCTATGCAGTCTGGGTACAGTTGGCGTCACCACTGTCCCTCTCTGTCCTGGAGCTCTTCTCTCATGGGGTCACCCCAAGGCAAGAGAGGACTCCTAACATGCACGGACTCTGCAGCAGGCTCTCTGACCCCCTGGGGTCCGTGGGATCCGACCATCTTGACCTTCATCACCTCCCTGTGACCCCACTGCAGTCTTCCTGTTCCTCCTGTGCAAGAGGCCTTGCTTCTGCCGCAGGACCTCTGCACCTACTGCCCGCTCCCCCTGGACGGGTCTCCCTCCAAGTGTCACTGGGGGCTTAGCTTCACATGATCTCTCCAGAGGGGCCGTTCCTAACTACTCTGCCTGAAATATCCCTTGTGCCTCTGCAGTATTTTCTTCATAGAGTTAGCACCTTGTGAAATTATCTTGTTCAGTTCAGTTCATTTCCTTATGTGTTGTTTATCTTCCACCAAGTAGAACGTGAGGGTGGTAATGTTGTCCACCTTTTTAACTGCTATAGAATCCCAGGCCTGCAAGAGTACCTTGCAGTAAACTATAGCTTAGCAGAGGCACAGTACATTTATTTGAGAGGTTGAATGACAGACCAAGTAAGTGAGTGACCCTTCTGCAATACCAGCTCTATGCTGGGTAGCATGGAGTGGGTGAGTGCAGTGGGGAACCTGGACTCTTCCCTGGGAAACTGTGGTCCTTCTAGAAAGAACCCCTGCACACACGAGCTGGTCAGAAGCTGCCATGTAGCAGCCACCCTGCAGGTGCTAGATTCGTGGTTGTGGATGGAGCTCAGGGATGGGTCCCTGAGTTCCTGCCTCAGGGCCTTTGCACTTCTCTGTAAGATAGGTCACCCACTGGCTTGTGCCCTCACCTTCACAGTGGCACCCATGTCCCCTTCTCAGCGAACTCATCCCAGCGAAAGGGCTCAGGACAGGACATCTTTCCCAACCACACCGATGTCCACTTTCCTCCTCAGGTTGTATCCAGGACCCCCAGTGTTGTGGCTGGGGGACCCACAGACTGCCAGGCTGTGGGAGACAGTCCACCAGGGCACCCACCGTCCTGCTGTCTACAGGGGTGTAGAGACCTGTCCAGGCAGGTGTGGTGGTTCTGCCCTTTCTCGTGAGGTAGATACAAGCTCTGGGGCCAGGTTTCCCAGGCAGGTGATGGTTCACCGCAGGTGAGACTGGCCTTGCCAGGGTTAGTGTGGGTCAGGAAGGAAAGAGGCAGGGTCTTCCAACCGGGAGCTCTGCTGACCCAGGGACCCCCACACCCACCCTCTGCTGGCCTGTGGTTTATGTGGAAATGCCAGAGCATATTCCTGGTAAGTTAGGACTGAAGCCAGCAGAAAGAAGTCTTGCTGAACCTGAGTAGAAACAAATGGATACTGCTTTTGAAAGTTTTAAAGTTTGAGGAAGACTGTATTTGTCCAAACTTCTGCTTCTTTTGCTTCATAAACTTCTAAAGTTTGTGACCAACAGTCTTTGGTGATGTTGAGACAAGAGACATAGGGCCATGGACCGAGGCATTCTGGAAACTTCCCAGAATAAGGTTGAAAATGAACGAAGTCATGGAAACATCACACCAGCCCTCCTTGGAAGCAGAATTTGCAGGGTTTGAAAGGCGGAATGGTAACCAGATAAAGATCAATTTCCTTTTTTATCAAAGAACAAAGAAGTTGGAAAATGCTTACAGTTGTGCTTTTGAACAGAACAGAAAGTGTTACATGTTATAAATCACCAAAGTAAACATCCATTATGACAATGTAAAAGCATAGATTACGTGAGTAATTAAAAATCAAAATCAAGTGGTTTGTTAATGAATGAGTTAATAGGGGCCCCAACTTGTGGCGATGTCCTGGACTGCCTTCCCCTTTCTCTTTGTGGTTTTGTGTTTCCAGATGACATGGTCAGAGGACAGCAGTTTCCAAAATAGAACAGTTGTTTTCCAAAATGCCACCTTTTGAAGTTTTTCCTATAATGAACCCATATGAGCATATTAAAACTCTGATGTGTAATAAATATATTTTAATTGGTCAGGATATGAGGTGGTACATTCTCTGTATCTTTCTGTCCTACTCCACCTCTGTGGGAAGTTTTGATCGTATAACATCAACTGATAAAAAAAAAACACTTTCCTTTTTTAACTCTGCTACATTAACTCAATTACTGCTCTTCTTCTCCAACACCTGTCTGTTAGAGAGGTTCTGAGCAGATGCACCAGTCAGATTGCTCTGAACACCTGGGGGCTGGGCAGAGCCTGCAGGGAGCTAGAACGTTTCGGCTGCCGCCGAGCTCCAGCCAGATCTATGGGGACAAGAGAGGAGCACCCAGAGGACCCTCAGGTCCTAGGGCTGCCCCACTCTGGCTACTGCAGGGAAGTTGTTGATTGCTGATTCCACCGAGGGAAGGCAGAACTCCTCTCCTGTTTGAAAGTCTGGTTGGTTAGGACCAAATCACGAGATGTGTCTGATTTGTCTACTAGAGCACACTGCTGGTGACTGGAATTCAGAACCAGACAGTAAAAAGACTGTGTCAGTTAGGGCTCTCCAGGGAAACAGTGAGTATTTACACATCTATATACATATATATGTATCTATATATATATATCTATATAGACACATCTGTGTACATATACATATATAGACACATCAATCTACATATATACACATTTATATATATACCTATACACATCTATATACATTTATGCAATATGCACACATATATACATATATATTCATGTGTCCATGCATGCTAAGTCACTTCAGCTGTGTCTGACTCTGCAACCATATGGACTGTAGCCCGCTAGGCTCCTCTGTCCATGAGATTCTCCAGGCAAGAATACTGGAGTGGGTTGGCATTTCATCCTCCAGGGCATCTTTCTGACCCAGGGATTGACTGAACCCCAGGTCTCCTGCATTGCAGGCAAATTCTTTACTGCCTGAGCCACCAGGGAAGCGCCTATATACATATATATATATATGTTTTATGGAAAGATTGAGGGCAGGAGGAGAAGGGAGTGACAGGATGAGATGGTTGGATGGCATCAGAGACTCAGTGGACAAGAGTTTGAACAAACTCTGGGAGATAATGAAGGAAAGGGAAGCCTGGCATGCTGCAGTCTATGGGGTCACAGAGAGTCAGGCACGACTTAGCAACTGGACAACAAAAATACATCTATATATAGACATCAGTATACATGTGTCTGTGTGCTAAATGTGCATGCTGTGTCACTTCAGTCGCGTCCAACTCGTCGCCCTCCAGGCTCCTCTGTCCATGGGGATTCTCCAGGCACAAATACTGGAATGGGTTGCTGTGCCTTCCTCCAGGAGATCTTCCTGACCTAGGGATTGAACCCACATATCCTGTGACTCCTTCATTGGAGGCAGAGTCTTTACTGCTGAGCCACTGGGGAAACCCTATATACATTTATACACATCAATATACATGTACACACATATCTATATGTATCTGAAAGTGAAAGTGAAAGTTGCTCAGGCGTGTCTGAACTCTTTGCGACCCCACGGACTATACAGTCCGTGGAATTCTCCAGGCCAGAATACTGGAGTGAGTAGCCTTTCCTTTCTCCAGGGGATCTTCCCAACACAGGGATTGAACCCGGGTCAACGACTTAGCAACTGGACAACAAAAATACATCTATATATAGACATCAGTATACATGTGTCTGTGTGCTAAATGTGCATGCTGTGTCACTTCAGTCATGTCCAACTCGCCGCCCTCCAGGCTCCTCTGTCCATGGGGATTCTCCAGGCACAAATACTGGAGTGGGTTGCTCTGCCTTCCTCCAGGAGATCTTCCTGACCTAGGGATTGAACCCGCATATGCTGTGACTCCTTCATTGGAGGCAGAGTCTTTACTGCTGAGCCACTGGGGAAACCCTATATACATATATACACATCAATATACATGTACACACATATCTATATGTATCTGAAAGTGAAAGTGAAAGTCGCTCAGTCGTGTCTGAACTCTTTGCGACCCCATGGACTATACAGTCCGTGGAATTCTCCAGGCCAGAATACTGGAGTGAG